ACCCTGATGAACACGACTGATAGAGCAACTTCACGCAATCGTTACTCCTAAACCGTTCGTCCTTTGCAAAAACCTTATTAACAAAAGTTGTAGAGCTATATGTAATCTACAAATTTGCCTTAGGAAGCATCCCCTAATTAGCAATGGTTAGCCAGTTACAATGCTCCCAAGTGAGATACATTGAAACTATAAACAACATTATGACTTAGAATTTTTTCAAAGTACTAGAACAATATTTTCTTATTACTTATGCACTATTTTAGAGCAAGTTAGGAGCTGAATTAGACCATGACCCAAAAATAAAAGTTGTTACCCTAGTTGAGTTCTACAACTTTTCTTTGGGGTGCATAGCCATGTAAAGTCTCTAGGGTATAGTTCCACTTAGGTCAAACATGCAACTAGAAAATGGTGGATTACACTATAACCATGACTTAGAGGCCAATTTGGTCCAAGTCATGAATACCAAAGTTGTTCCATGTGACATTCTAAACATATTTAAGGTACTCCTAAGGTCCCACAAGCATTTCATACATTGGTCACACACAATGGCAAGCATATACATGCATATAGCTATCATCACATGTAACAAAAGTAAGGTGATTGAGATGACACTTCATATGCTTATGCTCATATATGAATGAATGATGCTTATGCTCATGCAATGCAAGTGCAAAAGTGCAAGCCAAACACCTAGGGTGTTACAGAGCGTCCCCTCGGTGAGCGTCGTTCCGTCGAATGAAGCCTTGGGCGCCATCGCACACAACGGGAGCGAGCGCGTCATCAATGGCGCCAACCTCCTTGCGTGGTAAGCCCTGATGATGCCCGACCCCTTCAGGCCATTCTCCTTTAAGATATGGATGGCGGCGATGTGGTCTCGGATCTTCTTCTTATCCTTCTCTAGGACGTCCCACTTCCTCCACTGCTCCGGGGCCTCTTCGATCAGGCGCCCGGTGAACTACGGTAGAGGGGCGGCGGTGTCGTTCTTGAGGTAGAACCATTGCGAGTGCCAACCCTTGTTGGACGTCAAAAGCTGCATGGATGGGTACTCGCTGACCCGATTATTCCGAAGTTGGATGCCGGCGCACCCCATCAGCTTATGCAGCTCCTGCCTACCGCTTTTCTCCCTCTTCTTCTGGAGGGTGACGGCAAAGAAATACCTCCACAAGTCAAAGTGGGGGTTGATCCCCAGGAATCCCTTGCACAGCACGACGAACGCCGCCATATGCTAGATCTTGTTGGGATTGAGATGCTACAGCTCAATCTTGTAGTAGTGCAGCAGCCCCCGAAGGAATTTGTGGGTGAGGGTCGTGAGCCCACGCTCGTGGAAGTGGGTGAACGACACCACATAGCCGTCGGGTGGTGACGACAAATCCTCATCACTAGGAAGCAACCACTCCTCGGCCGAGGTCCGTACACGGAGAAGACCGTGATGGACAAGGCCCTCCATGCGCTAGAAGGTGATGTCAGAACGGCACAACGAATCCATTGGAGATGGGACGTGGATGGATGTGAGCTTAACGGCGACGGAGATGCGAAGGTAGGAAACCTAAGCGATGGCGGCGATGGCGTGGCTATGGAGGCAAGGATGCAACGTATTAAACCGAGGGGCTAACCCTTTGGTTTTTATAGGGGTGATAGGTGCGAGAAAACCAGCCGACCACCTCGATCTCCGTGCCTGCCACGACCGGCCACCATGTCTCGTCGTGGGGCATGCGCACGCAACCTATGTTCGTTCCCTCAGAAAACTCGCCGGACATTTTGCCTTCCTGAACGGGCATGACCCATCACAAGTAAAAAGGATACGGAGCTAAAAATGCTTCTACGACCTGTCTAGGTCTAGGAGTTCGAAGGTTGGGCCACCGATGGGTTTGACAACCGCTCTGGGCACCTTTAGAGTGAGGGCTGGAAAGGGATGGGCCCGCTAGCGGCTAGTACCCGGGTGCACGAGCGCCATGGGCATCCCAGCCCATGTTCGAGTCTCAGCCGGATACAATCCATGGTTTTTCCTCAAAGAAAGGCAGATAGCCCTCGGGACCGGTCGAACGGACCCGAGAACTATATGGAATTGACCGCTAAGAATTTGGAGTCGGTCACCAGCTGACCCGAGCCGGACCCCCATGAATGGGATGCCGGGCCCCACTCGAACTAACCCGTTAATAGCTCACCGAGCACCATGATTCATCCATAGAGGAAAATCATGGCACAACTCAGCCCCTTCGTTTTTATCAGGAAAAACGCTTAAGGGAAGACAATCGCAAAGATGAGCCGATCCTCGACCGGACCCCTACTACGGGCGGGGGCTCGAGGAAAGTTGGACTCGCATGAAGGCCTAACGCATGGTCGCAGAATGACAGACCCCTGTAGGGGTCGAAATCAGGAAAGACCTTTTTTGATCCACCAAATCTCACGGCCATATACCGAGGGGTCTGATCTCGATGAAAGGGAATCACCATCTCCAGGGCATGCCATGGGCGACAAAAGAAGGCCAAGGCCGTCAGAGTCCTCCCATTCGGAAAAACCTTCGAAGGAGTATTCTACTCCTCCGTAGGCTCAGGGGCTACTGTCAAGGACCAATACTGGGTATCCAAAGAGGAGGGGCTAATGGTCATCAACATAAATTCATCCGAGCAGTCAAGAGCACGACTATAGCTCCAACCGGCCCCAAGGTCTGTGGGCTCCGCCTCGCCCAACCTCTGGGGGCGGGCTCCGCCTCGCCCGACACTGAGGCCACGGGGCTCCGCCTCGCCCGACCCTAAGGTCACGGGCTCCACCTCGCCCGGCATCTGGGGGGGCTCTGCCTCGCCTAACACCGAGCTCGCGGGCTCTGCCTCGCCCGACCACTGGGCAGGCTCCGCCTCGCCCGATACCAAGGCCACAGGCTCCGCCTCTCCTGACCTCTAGGGGCGGGCTCCGCCTCGCTCGGCACCGAGGTTGTAGGCTCCACCTCATCCGACCCCAAGGTCGCTGGCTCTGCCTCGCTCGACCCTTGTGTTTGCGCTCCGCCACGCCCAACACCGAGGCCATAGGCTCCGCCTCGCCCGACCCTTGGGTTTGCGCTCCGCCTCGCCCCAACCCTCGGGTGCGGGCTCCATCTCGCCCGATGAGGTCCCATACCGCCGCCAACCACTCTAGGTCTAGCCTTATGGGCCTAGGTCAAAACTCTGACACTAGGGAAGAGACTGACACGCCTCGATGTAACCATACCCGAGGATTCACATCAAGAACAGTGTCGGGGCGTACCGGTGTTGTTCTACCTAACCCTCGTACAAACACTGACATGCGCGTTAGTTCACCACGACGTCCGCTAGGGCGGAGTGGAGCGCCATGACCGGCAGACGATGCCTGCGCACGACGCCAGTGACGGACAAGGCCCCTACGTGGCGCCATCCCTATTGACATCTAAAAGGTCAGCGGGACCCGCATGAAGGAGAAGGACCCGGCGATCCTAAAGGACCTCTTCTCTCTCTCGTTCTCCTCTCTTCCTCCGCTATAACCCATGCTTTCCCTTAGCCTATAAAAGGGAAAGCATGGCGTCCAATGAAAGGGATCCGAACCCATCAAATCCCGAATCGATCAGAACATGACACAAGCACACGCCTGAGCAGCGACTGAGCTCTCAGCACCCACTCACTCCCTTCACTAGAGACTTGGGATCCTTTCCCTGTCTCGTCCGTTTGTAACCCCTACTGCAAACTTTTAGTACTAGTAACACGAGCAGCAGCAACGAACTGGACGTAGGGATATTCTACCGAACTAGTATTAACCTCGTGTCATCTTACCACACCATCCGAGCCAAACGCGCAATATTAGAAATTTACTCGTTGGTGGTAACTCGAAACACCAACACCGCGGTGGTGAGACCACGGTCCAAATGGACATGACAATACGAGCCTCCCGCCACCTTCTTTTCGAAGGTCCCGCTACGACCCTCAAAGCCGAGGTCATTGAGGCCACATACGTCGACCATCTCTCGGAAGCCCTCGATCTGAGCTCTACTCCTTTCTTGAACGCCTATGTGCTCCGATTGATGTAAAACCGCATTAAAATCACTAATGCAAACCCACGACAGTGGGGATGATGATTTAATAAATTTAAGCAAACTCCGCATCTTGTGTCGCTCGCTTAGTTGCGCCTCTCTATACACACATGTAAGCCTCAGGGTTCTCTTTCACCCTCTATAACAATAATATCAATGTGATATTGTGAGTACGGTAACATTCCACTCGCATATTATTATTCCAAAAAATCCCCATATCACCACTGCGGTCTGTACTGCTTACAACAAACGAATGATCAAAACCTAAGGTGTTCTTCAAATTTTCTACCCGCGACTTGTGCACTTGGGTCTCCTGAACACACAACACGGATGGGGCAAAACGCCTCGCCAATTCATGAAGCTATTTCAGTGTCGGGCGTTGCCGAGGCCGTGACAATTCCAGCTTAGGCAACTCATTGAGTTGGACAGGCTCCCTCCTCAGAGTCTGCCAGGAAAAGAACAACACCGCTACTATCTTGCACCTTCGACTTCTTATCCTTCAACTTCGCTTCCGTCATTGACGTTGAGATCGGCTTCCCCAAATCCTAAACCCTAGGTCCCATCCTACCAAGGCTGGGCAATTGCACACGAGCAGTCCTGTTCGCTTGAACTTATCAGCCCGGCTTATCAGTCATGGTATAATATTTTTTTTTACAATAAAACATCATAAGTCGGATTATCAATTGCAAAAACCATCTAAAAATGTTTAATTATAAGTAAAACTGAATGTCTGATTCGTGGGCTCGCGGGCACTTGCCCAACCAGCGTACCAACCCACTCGTTTCTCCACTCCGCCCACGACAAAATTACCCATTCACCCCGCCGCGCCGCTCAAAAACCCTCGCCGTGTCGTGTGCGGTGTGCTCTTCCCTCGTCGTGTGCCAACCAGAATCCTGCGCCGTTCGTCTACCTCGATGCCGCCGCGGCAGCCGACGCGCGGCGCCGCGGCGTGGATCCTCAGGACATGGCGCGGAGCGCGCAGGGCGTCCTCAAGTTCCTTTACACGTGCCTCCCCGACACGCCCGTGTACGCCGGCGCCGCCCTGTCCGCCCTCCCCCCCGCCGACGACGCCGAGGAACGCATCAGCGCCCTCCCCTTCTCGCTCCTCCGCAACATCGTCTCCCGCCTCCCCGCCAAGGACGCCGCGCGCGCCACCGCGCTCTCCCGCCGCTGGCGCCCCGTCTGGCGCTGCACGCCGCTCGCCTTCGCCGACGCGCTCCTCCTCCCGGGAGTCCTCGGGGCCCACCGCGACCACGCGCGCGCCGACACGCCGGCCCTCGCCGGTACCTTCTCCCGCGCCATCGTCGATACCTTCTCCCGCGCCATCGCCGCGCACCCCGGCCCCTTCCGCGCCGTCCGCCTCGTGTGCGGCTACTACGCGGACGCCGCGCGCCAGCGGCAGCTCGCGCGCTGGGTCCAGTCGTTCGTCGCCATGGGCATCCAGGAGCTCATCCTCGTCAACCGCCCGTGGCCACTCGACGTGCCTCTCCCCGCCACGCTCCTCGGCGTCGCCACCCTCACCCGCCTCTACCTCGGCCTCTGGAAATTCCCGGACAGAGTCAGAGTGGCGCGGACGTGCTGTTCCCGCTCCTCCGCGAGCTCGTCCTCTGCTCGATGGTGGTGGAGAGCAGCGACATGAACTTCCTCCTCGTCGGGAGCCCCGTCCTGGAGAACTTTGGCATAGTGGGAATCAGGGAGAAGGCGATGCGCCTCCGCCTCGTTGGCCAGCATCTCAGGTGCGCGCAGATCCTCATGTCAGCTATGGACAGCATCGCCGTGGTGGACACCCCGAGTCTCGAGCGGCTCATCCTGTGTGAATCCAAGGCGTGCAACAGCTCTTGCATTAGGCTAAAGATTGGCAAAGCCCCCAAGCTGCGCATACTTGGATACTTGAGTCCTGGAATTCACATGTTGGAGATCCAGAACACCGTCATCAATGTAAATACAATTCTCAATTGTGTGGCGGTTTCTTTTTATTGCCTTTGCATGTCTGACCATTATATTAGTATAATTCAAGTCCGCATTTGTAAATCAGCCACGGGTGCCAATGTCTGAACATAACATTCCTCAGCTGCTTTTGCTTCTGATGCATTCCAGGCTGGGATAAAGGTGACACCAAGTACCATGGTTCCAGGCATCAAGATCTTGGGATTAAATGTGCGCTTAGGAGTCTGCAATGATTCCAAGATGTTACCGACTTTCCTCAGATGCTTTCCCAACGTTGAGACCTTGCATATTGTGGTACTAACAATGCATATGATTTTGGCTTGTTCAAGCTCATCATACTTCTGCCACGATTGCATCATCTACTACCTGTTAAGCTACTCACTTATTTGTGCCATTTGCAGTCGAGAAAAACCAACAAAGTCACTGGCAGGATCAACCTCAAGTTCTGGCAGGAGGCCGGTCCCATTGAAAGCATCCGGTCCTCCATCAAGATGATGACTTTCCGTGAATTCGGAATGGAGCGAAGTGAGGTTGCCTTCCTCAAGTTCTTCTTCCAAAGTGCCCACGTGCTGAAGAATGCTGTAATTGTGGGGTCCAATGAAAGTTCCACATCCATTCCTGAGGTGATTAACAAACTTAAGACTCTGATTCCTGAAAATGGGCCTAGTAATTCCTGCCATGTGCTGGTCTATGAAAGTTCAGATCCTGGGGGTGCTGCCTTGAGTTTGCAAAAAGGATTTGATTTTTCTGTTAGCGATCCTCTCAAGTACCGGTGAAGTCAAATAGTATCTAAATAAAAGGCAATGTTCCAGATTATTAGCTTGCTTTTTATGAAGCTTATGTTGGTCCTACTGTCACATTTAGCTTTAATTGCTGAAGTTAATAGTACTAGATTTCTTGCATATGAGTACTGTTAGTCAGGTTGTTCCTGCTATGGACCATTGTATCGGTGTCTTCCTATTTCACTGATTTAATTTGGCTACATGTGGCCTGAAATTGACGTTTATTTTCTTGAAATGTCCTTTTATATTTGGTGAGAACTAGAAACAGTCTGAGCTATTATTTGGCTTGTTATATCTGGTATTCTGTTCAGTATGCTGAATTTGTTACTAGCAGACTGCATCTTGAATGACCTTGCAAATTTTACTAACAGCTATATGAAATGCGTGAATGATCAATATAGGCATGTGTTTTGTTGAATACATTACTTAAACAGCATAAAAGCCTGGAATTTCAGGTCTTATCTCCATGTTTGAAAGGTTTTGCATGGAACTTTGCAACATGTGTTTAGGGGCTGCGTGCTTTTCTTTTTTGTGCTGCAACATCTTTATGCTGTGCATGCTTTGGTCAACAATGACTGGATTTGTTGCTAAACTAATTGCACTTCTTTAGTTGACAAAATTGTGCACTGCTTTTTCAGCATCTTATATGACTTCTTTAACTAACCTTGGCCTCACTCTGGTGATACTAGTGCAGATTATTTTCTCAACATACAATCCTAGGTTTTCGGCGATCAAACTTTTTTGAGTTTGACCAAGTTTATAGAAAATAGTATCAACACTTATATCTCCAAATAGATTTACTATGAAAATATATTGCATAATTAATCTGATGATACTTATTTGATATGATAAATGTTTGTATTATTTTCTATTAATTTGGTCAAACTTAAAATCGTTTGACTTTTTGGAAAGTGAGAATTGCATTTTTTTTTGGGATGGAGAGAGTACTTTGCTACTGCCTCAGCTGTTTCCTTGAGCTAGCTTCTGTTCCATCAATCTTGCTGTAACATTTTGTTGCTGGCAGCTTTGTATGGTATGTTTCTGATTTCTTCTGGTATTACTTCCAGTCATGAATACATGGCTGGAGGTAGAACTATGCAGCAATGTGCTTGTGGAACTTTGATAAACTTGGGGTACGTTGTGGTGAAGGTTTGTGCTTGAAGTGCAAGATATATGAACTTTGTTGAATACCAAGTCTTGCCAGTTGTTTGTCATGTCTATCCTTCTCTGCATATTTCCGAGAGCTTTGGATGAACCTATGCCACGTAGATTAGTCATGGTTGACAAAAATCTGCTATTGGTTGCATGTTTTTTTTTTATATTTATGTCACAGGATACTTAAAAAGGGTGTACCCAGTGCAGAGAGCTCCCGCTCTGTGCGGGGTCTGGGGAAGGGTGTCAGTGGCAAGCAGGATACTAAACTACTAATATTGTGCATGCTGGATTAATGCATTTCAAGGCATGCAGTCCTTTGGGACACAGTGCATGCCTGATCCTGGGGCTGGGGGTAGCACATTAGCTTAATGCTGCTTTGCATAAGTACAGTTACTGGCAGTTAAGGCCTTCAGGGTGGTACTGTCTATTCAAGTTTACAACAGTGGACAGTGGTGGCGTGGTGCTAATGTCATGTGTTGGTCTAGCCAATTTTGGATGATTCTTTGAAACTATATCTGCTGGTTAATATGCATACTAAACTACTAATATTGTGCATGCTGGATTAATGCATTTCAAGGCATGAACTCCTTTGGGCCTGGGGCGGGGTAGCCGGGTATCACATTAGCTTAATGCTTTTTTTTAGCGAAATATACAGCAGGGGAGGCCCCACTGTGAATTTTATTAAAACAAAAAAGAGACAACACTGTACAAAGGCGACACAGCAAGGGAAGGAGGGGCTACACAAAAAGCAGGCCTTGGGAAGGCAGAAGAACTAGGGTAGAGGGACTATACAGGAAAGGAACTCTAGACGCTTTACAACATTGAACCTATGAGCTTGAAGCCTGGCTTCTTTACAGAAGGAGTTCTTCCAAGAGATAAAAGAAGGCCGACCCCAATCAAAGATGAAGTTGTTTCTCTGCCTCCAAATTTGCCATGCCGTAATGGTGAAGAACTCCATGAAAAAGGGATTCTGAAATTGAGTTTTAGCCTGCTGCATCATCTTGAAAAATTCTCATGTGAAATCCCAATTAATTCCAAGGTGCTGCCAACAAGTTTGGCTAAAGGGACAGCTGAAGAAAAGATGGAAATCAGTTTCTTCAATGTTGTTGCTGCAGAGGACACAGTTATAGTTATTTCCTTCGAGCTTTTGCTTTTTTCTTTTCAAAATATTTCTTGTATTCAATCTGTCCATGAAGAGCAGCCATGAAAAGACTCTGAGCTTGTTGCAACATGGAATTCCAAATCCAGAGGAAGGGAGCTGGTGGCTGTATATTCTTATAGGGAAAGTTATAAAATTTTGAGGAAGAATATACTCTGCTTCCCCATATGTAGTGCCAAGAGTCCTTTGAAATTTGATTGACCTGTAGAGTTTGAATGAAATCTTACAGACTTTGGAACTCTTTAAAGGCTTGCTCAGAGAGGGGGAGGTAGAATTGAGCCTCCAGGGTATTGTTTGCCAGAAACTTGGCTACAGAAATATTCTTGTGCCTTGCAAAGGAGAAAAGTCGTGGGAATCTGGTTTGCAAAATATTATCATTCCAAAGGTCAGACCAAAAAAGGACCGTGGAGCCATCACCAATTTTGCACTCAGCAATTCACCTAAAGAGGTCACAAAGTTTAAGTACATCTCTCCACCAAAAGGATCCTCTATCAGTAGTTGCATGGGGGACCTGGTCCTGTGGATAGTGAGCATTTCAAATCAGTTTGACCCATGGGATGTCTTTTTTGTTGTAGAACTTGTCCAGATGCTTGAGAAGGAGAGCTTTATTTTGAGTTCTAAGATTGATGATTCCTAGCCCTCCTTTGTTTTTGGGCTTTGAGCACTTTTTCCAGGCTACTAAGGGCTTCATTTTGGCATTTGATTCAGATCCTCTCCAAAGACAGTGGCGTCTTGCTCTATCAATATAATCAAGTACTGCTGCTGCAACTTGTAAAGTGCACATGGCAAAGGTGGGCAATGAAGAGAGGACAAAATTAACCAATTGAAGCCTTCCTGCATGTGTCAGGAAGTTTGAGGTGGAAGTGAGTGTTAGGCGTGCTACCTCTACTTCAGCTGACTCTGGACCGTGTCGGATGATGTGGCAGAACCTCCTAAATTATAGGGTCCACATGTATCTGTCACTGTCCAATGACCTCTGACGACTATGCATATGTTCCCGGTAACTTAAGAAGCCTGTCGGATGTCCTCGGGGACCCTTTTCGTGCAGGATCCATTACAGAGTCATTGCAGTATTACAACAGTTTATTCATTAATTTACATCAGAGCAAAATAGCGGAAGTTACAAAACAGTTGTTTCAAACCTTACAAACTAAGTACGATTATTATTACAAACCATAGTAGTGGAGTAGCTTAGTAACAAAAAGCAAAACACACAATAAAAGTGCCCTGCCCAAGGGCCACACATTTACTTGTCATCATCGATTTGAACAACCGTCATGCAGCACGGTCCAAAGCAGACCTGCTCATGAGACTCACCTACAACAAGGGTTAAAGGACCCTGAGTACAAAAGTACTCAACAAGACTTAAACCAAGTAAAACTGTTAAGACTCAGGAATGCAGGCTCAGGGATTCAAGGTAAAGCTTTAGCAATAAACAAAGTTCTTTTGTGTAAAAGCTCTTTAACAAGTTTTTTTCTTTCAACCTTTAAAATTTCATCAAGATCATATATGAATCGGCCATAATCCGTACTGAGATCATGAACTTCATATTAAACTCTTTCTCAAATCTTACTAAGTTTCATTTGTTAACTACGATGATGAACAATGAGTTGAGTCTCCATAACCGAGGAGCAACGACGATTCGAACCGATAAAAACCCAGCTGGGGATTCCCAACCACACGACATATGCAGGTCCCTGACCTACATATACCAACCTACCCTCAGCTCCTCTAAAACAAGAACGGGTCCGCGCCACCCGAGAGCATAGTACTCCACCAATCCAGCCCATTGCCACGTGGGTACATGCTACTCCTGTCATCTCTCCACTCCTAGTGTGCGAGTAGCCATTCTCGTAATAAAATAGCCGAGTTAAGGCTTACTGGAGTATGTGGCTAGTAATACAAAGTCTCACCTCATGCAATTCAGCAACGGACGGATCTTAATCGACACAGGCGGAAAGAACCCGCTCACAAGACATCCATGTCTTGTGGCTCTCATACACCGAGTCCGCCTAGTCTAGATTTATTACTCCACAAGATTATATCTCATGATAACATAAATAACCAGTCGTATCCAAAGATCCAGTGATATCTTGCAGGTGACAGGTAATCACCCGACTTTTGTTGGTCTAAGCATGGCTAAGCATAACTAGGCATTCTTGAATTGAAACGGGTAACAAGGTTGATATGGAAAAACAAGGTTGGTAATGCACCAATTAGGTTTCCACTCAACTCCTAATCACTTAATGCAGTATTTAAAAGCAGAAGCGATATAAATTTGTAAAACACCAGGTAGGTTTAAATGCATCCGGGGCTTGTCTTGATTGTCGGAATATTCAGGTTCCGGAGATGTTCCACAGATATCAAACCCAACCTCAACAGGTGGATTAACTTTCTCAACAACTTGGTTGACTACCATGTTCTCACTTTCGTTCACTACACGAGGTAACAATGCCATGTTTAATATGATGCGAGATATAAAACATGATGCTTGACGATGGATGCAAAAGTTAATAACTTGAATACAACTTTTCTTCGCGGTACAGTTACAAGCCAAAAACTAACTAAACCTTTTTCGTAAACTCAAACACTTACATTAAGTGCCAAGGATCAATTTATGCTAATGACCCAAGGATCCAAAATTCAAACAACACCTAAGCCATTAAGGTTTACTATTTGTTTTCTGAATTAATTATTTAATTCAAAATTATGAAATAAATCAACTTTTTCTAAATAAGCTCAAAATTTTTGTGAAGGCTCATCACATGATAACTAAGTGGCAAAATAATTTTCATAATTTTTGGATAATTATTTAAGCCTAGAAAAATCATAGAAACTCATTTATTAATTAATTAGAGCAATTTTATCACATTCAAAATGTACTGAAAAGTAACATTTAGTATATTTCCTAAATAGTTTACATCTCAGAGAGATCACACAAAAATTTTCATAATTTTTGGAGCTCTATTTATTTCTATACAAAATAAACAAATTACAACACTATTTAAACAATTATGCAAAATAGAAAAATTCCTTTTTAAAGAAACGGCCGCTGATAGGGTGACCCCACTATCAGCCCGCGCTGACCACGGCGACGAGGCCCTCTGACCGACGGTTTCTCGTCGACGGTGAGGTCTCTAGCCACGACTGAGGCATTTCCATGTTCCCCATCTCATGACGGTTTGGTTAGTGGTACTAGCTACACCAATTACGGCTTGGTTCGAGCTCGACGCCGGTCATGGCGGCCACGACGGCGCGGCTGCGTTACGCCGGCGAAGTAAGAACATCAATGGTTAAACGAAAGGCTCGGGAAGACTCAGTAGCTCACCCCAAACTCGCTCGAGCCGAAGGATGAATCGGAGGAGCAATAGAGAGGCTTGTTGACGATCCAGGCAGACACGGCGACGTCCCGACATCGATGGCGGCTTTCCGGTGGCTGCAGTGGATGAATGGATCAACCAAAAGGCCACAGAGCACCATGACAACACGGTGAAGCTGGAGCTAGGCTTAGCAAGGGCAGAGACGCACCGTAGAGTGCTGGCCACGGAGAGGCGAGCTCAACGGCGATGCGGCCGACCGCGAGGAAGAAAGGCGACGCGCAGCGTATCTCGGCGAAATCAGGCGCCTAGGACTAGTCGGCTGGGTTCGCAAGGAGTAGGCGGAACAGTGACATGCTTGATTGAGGTAGGGACGGTCTGTGGCTCCGGTGCGAGCTCGACGGAGCTGGGCGGCGGTGACTGGAAAAATAGAGGAAAGGGGAGAGAGCGACTGGAGGGCGCTCTAGATTTAACCAGCGGAGGCGGCGGAAAATATGTGCACGTGACACGCAACGGCGACGCGAACATGTCGAAGCCAGAGGTGTCACCTGCGGCGCGCGTAGAAGCCGGTGGAAGATCATCGACGATGAGTGTTGGTCTGCTGGCACTGTTCCAACTATTTACCGAATTGTCACTCACTTTATTTCTCAAATTACTCTCAAATTTGTATGGTAACTCAAAAATCTCCAAAAATAAAAGTTATTCCAAACTAAAAGTTCTACAACTTGGCTTTAATAACCATACTCAAATTATGTCTACATTTTGAAATGCAAGTTTAAAATCAAAAAGGGATACTTAAGAATTTATCCCTTTTTAAATTACTTCAAATTTTATATAACAACTTTGAAAACTCCAAAAACCAACCTTGTACACATTGACAAGCTCTACACTTTTTCTTTTAGGCTCAACCCCAAAATGTGCTTAGATTTTGAATTAGGTTTTACAGGGTAGAATTAAATGCTGAAAATTAGGGTTTTGGAATTCCAATGCAATACAAAGGTTTTAAACTTGATTCATCCCATACAAGTCAACACATATAATCATAAAAATAAACTTGTTTTAGTGAATGCATATCAAAGTTCTCACTAACACAAAAATGATGTGCAATATATATGATGACATGTCATATTTTAGGGTTTAAAACACCAGAGGTGTTATAGATGAGCTATAGGAGGATCCGCCACGACAACCTGAAGAAGGAAGAGCTAAACGGGCCAAGGCTAGAAGCAGCTGGGTGTTTGGGCCTAGCTGGGTCAATGTGTGAAGCCTAGTTGAGGATGTGTGTGTGTGTCATTTGATATATATATAGATAGCTATGGCTTGGAGAAGGGTATGAACCTTAACTGAATCGCCTAAGAACTCATCTGTTCTCGCCCCTTGCTGTGCTTCCCTGTCTCCCAACTCCGATTCCTCCTTCCCCTTCCTTGTGCTGCTAACAAATTGGTACCGGAGCCACCCTTGCTCGGCCTTCTTCTCCTCACTCTCACCTCGATCTGGGAACGTAATCCCTGATGGCAGGTTGATCGCCGCTCTTCGCTTCAGTGTCGAGCGTGTGATTCCATAGGTCCGTGCCGAGGTCATTCTGATCGGTGATGAGCGTAGCGAGTCAATCCGAGCCACTACCCTAGAGCTGCACCAATAGATCACGACCACTACACTAGATTCTGCCGCCAGCTTGGGGCCATGGATCCGAACACCAAGCTCCTCGTCGATGAGATGAAGGCAATGCGCTCGGCTTTGGAGGGCTGCATTGGAGGCGTGGAGTCGTTGCTGGGCAAGGTGGAGACCTTGCTGGGCCGACGGATCAGGTCGGTCGAGAGCTTCATCTCCGAGCGTTTCGCCAAGCTGGAGGATGCAGCCCAGGTGTTCGACACCTCGAAGCCGACAATCGATGCGTCGGTGAAGGAGCTGCGTCTCAAGATGGGCGCGATCCACAAGTCCAAGGAGGCCGTGGAGAAGATGCGTGAAGAGATGATGGCGTTGCGCAAGACGGTGAGCCGTGCCGCACTCGATGCTGGTCCATCGGCACCAGCAGGCATCCTGCATTAGCTGGGCACAGCCTTCGCGTCCTCGTCCGCTGAGAAACCAGCCACTAGCCCGTATTTTGGGCCCCGCATCGAACATCATCACTGGGGACTTGAACCTCCAGTTCAGTCTCCGGTCAAGGGTACGATTCCGATCTCTGCTGCTACCTTACACACTGGTCTGATTCCTGTTTCGCTACCGCGTCCGTTCCCGGGCATGCACCGTTCGTTGTCTGGGTCCGTTCTAGAGCAGGGAGGTCGTATGTTTCAGATTGGGGAGGGTCTAGTTCGGGAGCAGTCGCAGCAGCGTGATCATCACGGTCATGGGCGCTATGATCATGGGGGTTACCACTACTCCAATAGCAAGCTGCCTAAGTTCAATTTTCCTAGGTTTGATGGGGAGAATCCTAAGCTGTGGATTTCCCGTTGTGAAGACTATTTGAGATGTATTTTGTGGAGCCTAGGTGTTGGGAGCAGCGGCTTGCTGGCTGCAGTCTTTGGATCCTAGCTTTCGGTCAGGAAGTTGGGGGAGTTTTGTCGCTTGTTGCTGGATTGATTTGGGAAGGATCAGCATGAGGAGTTGTTGTGGAAAATGTTGCATATCCGGCAAACAGCTGGGGTGCAGGAGTATGCTGATCGTTTCACCAAGTTGGTACATTAGTTGTTGACCTATGGCAAAAACACTGATCCCCTATTTTATGCCATGAAGTTTGTTGATGGCCTTCGAGACGATATTCGTTCTGCCGTTCAAATGCCACACCCTACTTCTATAGATACTGTTGTGGTTTTGGTTCTGTTACAGGAGGAATTAGTGGATCCATCCCGACGTCGTGATGGAAGGCGGTCCAATGGTTGCAGCTTTCTCAAGCTGCCACCGAATGGGGCGATGCCATTGCCTACCCCTCCTGTGGTGGACAAGGGTGGCCGGGTACCAGCTGGTGCTATGGCCTCTGATGATCGGTGCTCACCAACTGTGGATGCTAAGCTGGCTGCTATGAGGGACTACTGTTGCGCTCGAGTGAAAGGATCAAGATGCCCAAGAGGGGGGGGTGAATTGGGCTAATTCTAAAATTCTTTGCAATAAATAAACCCTGCACTTAGCCCACTTCACCCCTTGTGCCTAGAAAGTGATTCTATTGATCTACCGCACAAAAGTTTAGCACTCTAAGTTCCAATTCTACTCTAGCATAGCAATTCTAAGAATGTAAAGACAATAATTAAATTGCTCAAAAGTAAATGCTCAAAGTAAAGAGAGAAGGAATGCGATGATGTTTTGCCGAGGTATCGGAGAGTCGCCACTCCCCACTAGTCCTCGTTGGAGCACCCGCGCAAGGGTGTAGCTCCCCCTTGATCCGCGCAAGGATCAAGTACTCTCTATGGGTTGATTCTTTGACACTCCGTCGCGGTGAATCACCCACAACCGCTCACAACTTGAGTTGGGTCATCCACAAGCTCCGTCGGATGATCACCAAACTCCTAATCACCACCAAGCCATCTAGGTGATGGCGATCACCAAGAGTAACAAGCAAGAACACTCACTTGACCACAACAAGCCTAATGAGAAGGGTGGATGCACACTTGCTACTCTCTTTTCACTAATGAGGCCTTAATCTTGGATTCTCAAATCTCAATCACCTCACTAGGCTCTTGCTCTCCTTGGCACTCCTAAGGGTGTTTCTCAGCTGTTGAAATGGGCAAGAGTACTCCCTTGAATGAATAGAGGAACTATTTATACCCCGTCATTCAAAACGAACCGTTATGTGCCCGAGTCAGCACTCTGCGGGGTGACTGGATGCCCCGATCAGGGTGACCGAACGCTCCGGTCAGTTCTCCCTGCTACAGAGCCGTTAAGTTGTGACCGAACTCTGACCTGCGTCCGGTCAGTACTGATCGGACGCGTTCGGTCATGAAAACTGCTCTCTGGAACCTTACTGATGTTGACCGGACGCTGGAGCCCAGAGTCTAGTCGCTTCGCTATTCAATGTCCGGTCAGAAACAGGAACCTAACCAGTGTCCGGTCAGCACTGATCGGACGCGTCCAATCAGGATTCTCCCTCTCTAGAACCTTATTAGAGTTGACCGGACTTTGGCACCCAGCGTCCGGTCACTTTTCACTCAGCGTCCGGTCGCATCCAGACGACTTCACTTGATCAAATGAACTGACCAGACTCTACTGCCTGTGTCTGGTCACATCGAAACCAGCGTCCGATCAACATTTGACCCTCCATTCACTTTCAACTCGAAATAATATGTGAATGAAGTTTGCTCCAATTGATCTTAGGGCTACTTCGGAGCTACCTAGTGCTAGATTTGACAAGTGTGCACCACACCTAACCCACTAGACTCACCTATGTCAAGCTACTAGTCCATACCCCCCTTAATAGTACAGGTAAAGGAAAAACAAAGTCCTAAGCTACTCTAAGTGTCTCTTCAACACCAAACGATACTTAGAACTAGTCCATCTTTAACCTTGTCGTCCATCCTTTGAAAACCGAAACGATTTCCATCGTAGGGGCATGGCAACCATGAATGCCCAATCAGTTGCCATTACCATGACCTAACCTAATTGCCTCTACAAAACACATGTTAGTCTTAGGAATCACGTATTGTCATTAATCACCGAAACCCAACTAGCGGCCTAGATGCTTTCAATTTTCCCATTTTTGGTGATTAATGACAATACAATCTCGAGTATGTAAAAGAGATGAGATTTTCAACAAGCTTGGTTCATATAAGCTTTTGACAATAAGAACAAAGGGGTTAGACAAGCTTATATGACCTAAGCCAACATGGTGTACTCAATAGATATGAAATAAGCATGAGTACAAGAAATAAAGCTCATTTGCATCAGAGTAAAACGCGGAAGCAAAGCAAATGAGCATAACCAAGTTACATGACATATATAAAGATCAAAGTAGAGAGCACACATATCACATAAATATCATTATCACATAAATATCACGATCACACGTATGTAGTTCAATGCATGAAAGTAAATATGAATGCATAATAATGTATCACACATAAAAAGCCAAATGTAATAAATAAGCTCCCCCTAGAGATAACGCTCCTCCTATGTCTATCATACTCGATCCCTTTCTCCCTTTGGCATGAAACATCAAAACCTAAGGGTCTATCGGGGGGCAGCAGCGGACGAGTCGGGCGCTGAGGTGCGATGAGCGATCTGGAACTAGGTAGCATCATCCTCTGATCCGGAGCTTTGAGATGTCTGACCCTCTATCGCTGGAAGTGACGCTGAAGCGGTCTGGGTCTGCTCTAGAACTGGTGCGACCTGTGACTCTGCAGGTATGACTGTAACAGATGGCTCTGATGATGCAATTGATGATGGGAGCGTCTCTGTAGTCCTAGTAACTGGAGCAATGGTGGAAGGTCCAGGGATATGTAGCTCTGGCGGTGTAGGCTGCCCTGTCAACTCACTGAAAGTAGCACCAAGGCTCCTAGAAACTTGTCTGTCACAAGCATCGACGAACTCTGAGTCGGTGTGAAGCCCGTATGTAGAGGTGTGAAGGAAAGACCTTGGGCTAGCACTAGCGAAGCAAACCACTAGGACACCTGCTCTGTAGGTGAAACGAACATGGTAGCTGGCTGTCCCTGACTCTGAAGCCCACTGGGCTAAAAACCTAGAGTCACTGTAGTGGTGGCAGGCTGGCCGAGCTGAGGTGTAAGCTGTGGCGGTGGAGCCCCAATGGCAGTAACAACATGCTGCATGAAACCAAGTAACTGCTGCTGAATGAGGAGCTGTTGCTGCTGCATGGCCTGTTGCTGCTGCTGGATAGCCTGTTGCTGTCGCTGGAACTCGTCCTGTCTGGCCTGAACCTGTGCAAGTGCAGCTGCTATCTCCTGGGCCTGGCGAGCCTAATCCTGCCTCATCCGCTCAAGAATAGCAAGTAGAGCGGGGTCTGTATGCGGTGCTTGTGGAGCTGAGCTGGAGCCACTGGCCTCACCGTCATGTCGTCGTGGAGGCATTCGAGGGATATCCTAGTAGTCATCATCTGAGCTGTCACTAGGATCACTCTCAACCATAATCTCCTACTATACATCTAGCTTCTCCTCCTCTGTCGCTGCAATGCCCCTAATAATCTCATCCTGCTGGGCTGCAGACTGACACCTCTGGGTGACGGCTCGGCTGGCTAGGTGTCCTCACTCTGCTGTGACAGAGCATCCGAGTCATGTTATATGCTGGGAACTCTGTAGTAGCTCTTGAATACTCTGCCAACATCTTAGGAGGCCTCACTGTGACTGCCCTGTGAATCAGAAAAGTGATCTAGTGAGCATACGGCAGCTGCCGGTGACCTCTGAATCCCTCTGCAAGTGTATCCTCCATCTCAAAAAGAATGATATCCCATATATCAAACACTGTCTGCTGTATCAGAGAGTTCAGTAGCCATAGCTGAATTCGAGTCAATCCCTCGTGATATCCCATCCTCGGTAGCAGAGTCCTCCTCATGATAGCATCAAGCAGTCTAGCTGTAGGAGTAAGGTCTTTGGGTGTCTTGCTTGACCCCTCGCCGAATGGCTCTATGAAACAAGGTTGGATAAGATATGTGGGAGGCACAGGACTACCGTGAGGGTGTCTAGGAGGCTCTATATGACCATAGCAAACCTTGTGAAGGTGGATGGGTTGACTCCTGTAACCTGAGGATCTCTCTGACCCTGAAGCTCATCAGTCTGTAGTCACGGCCTCTGAATGCAAAGTGTATGAACCTATGAGCTGGGTCAATCCAAAGTGTAGCGTAGAACTCATGGACCCAACATAGAACATATCTGCATGTCCGTCCAAGTAAGTCTGTCAGCCCTAGCAAGTAAGAGAGATAAGGGCGGATCTGCTGCTACAATGGCCTCAATGGAACAAACCCTCTATGATATGAAAGCCACACCACTGTTCAGATAAGCATTATAGAAGTCCTCCTACAGTGGTGTATAGAAACCCTCTAAAACATGCTCATCCTTTCTTGGCGGGAACTAGTCCTCGAACTGCACAAACCTGAGCTGCTGCACCTGCTTGGCCGTGGCAGCCCTCAAATCCAAGTGAGTCACCTTGTGGTCTAGGAGGCGAACGAGAACCCCTCCTCTGTGTCTCTGGCCTCGGTGTTACCTGGGTACGAGTACGACTAGAGCAGCGTAACTGTGGCTGAGGTGCCTGCTCTGTCTCCTCGGTCTGCTCTACCTCCTGAGTCTCCTCTGTCTACTCTGCTAGCTGAGCCTGCTGCTGTGCCTCCCGTTGAGGCTGACACTTCTCCAAAACGACGTGCCGTCCCTCAAGCATGACAGTCCCAGTAGGACTACCATGACAACGCTCTACCGCCTCGACGGCGGCCCTCTGTGCTGGTGAGAGCTGATCTGCAATGATAACACCACTCCGAGCACCTCCTTTCTCTGCACGATCTATGGCAGCTGCTACTGCTGCTGCTCTCGCTGTATCAGCATATGCAAACTTCTGCTTCTTTGATGTAGTCTTCTTTGTCCCCTTGCATTTCACCTCACTAGACAGGCGAGGAGGAGGCCTCGGATCCTCATCATTGGGACCACCTCTCGACATTCTTGACACGTGCCATTGCTGGAGCTAAAATGAACTGCAATCACGGACAAGAACCAACTGTCACTGACACTCATGAGGCTTGGCCTCGATCCGTACTCGCAGGCTTGGTCCCGAGTTAACTGTCAACTATCAAAGTAACCTCAAACACACCGACTCGCTGCACGATAGAATAGATCGGATGTATGAATAATTTCAATATACATCTAGAGATATAAAACCCTAAGAAGCAAGCAATAGATATGAAATTAGAAGCGAGGGCTTGCTACCTAACGAATCAGCGACCGAAGAGAAGATGAACGGATCATGGGCACCACCGAATCGGTAATTAGGGTTAGGGTTGCAATTTAATGCGACTCTGGATGGGCCAT